TAAAAATAATACATAATAACAAATGCATCAGTGACACTATGCACCAAGCACTGTTCTATATTAATTCATTTAATTTTCATAACAGCCCTTGGGAGCCTGGGTGGCTCAGTTGGTTAAGCGACTGCCTTCAGCTCAGGTCATGATCCTGGAGTCCCTGGATCAAGTCCCGCATCAGGCTCCCTGCTCGGCAGAGAGTCTCCTTCTCCCTCTGACCCTCCCCCCTCTCATGTGCTCTCTCTCTCTCTCTCTCTCATTCTCTCTGTCTCAAAAAAAAAAAAAATCTTAATTTTCATAACAGCCCTGTATAAGGAAATGGAGCACAGAGAAGCTAATCAACTTACCCAAGATCACCTGAATAGTAAGTAGAGCATTTGAACTAGAATCCAGGCAGTGTGACTTTAGAACTTATTTGAACCACTGTACCTTACTGCTTCTTTTGTAGTTGAATTGTCATCTGAAAAATTGTGTTATCTGAAATTCTTGCTGTTCTCTGTGTTTGCTCATCTTTGCTCATTGTGGATTATTTCTTTATGAAGATCACTTTTTCAGTTATTGTGGGAATCCTGAATGGGTCCAGAGGAGGAGTTTTACACTGTTTCAGCTCAAGGGCATCCCTAATCCAGAACCACTTTTAATGCCAATTCCTTATCTTGGACATTCCTGAACAACAGGGTATAGATTTTTTTTTTCTATAATGTGGTTTTATTTCTTTATTTCTTTATTTCTTTATTTCTTTATTTCTTTATTTATTTAAGTAATCCCTACACCCAATATGGGGCTTGAATTCTCCACCCTGAGGTTAAGAGTTGCATGCTCTACCAACTGAGCCAGCCAGGTGCCCAACAGTGTCTAGATTTGGATTCAGAATCAACATAAAATATTGTCCTGTAGTTACAAATTCTTAGGAAAGTTTTGTGTTTGTGATTTTTTTCACCCAGAGCCAGGAATAGGTAGATGAACTTCTTTGTTTCCTCCCTGTGGATGGATTTTTTTTTTTAAGTCCACCCTTCAAAGGGTGTAGCCTTTTGAGGATCTTAGCTTTATCTGGAAATTTCAATTCCAACTACCTTTCTCACACAGGCCCCAAACCCTTCTGTCCTCATGGAGGATTTAAACTCAAGCCACTTAATTCCTGCAACAGACACTCCTTTCTCTATCCCACCATATTCCCAGCCATGGCTGCTTCAGTTTAATATTACATGTTTACTCCTCTGGTTTTATGTTCTTTCTTTGTTTTGGGTCCCTAAGGACTTTCCTTACTTTCTTGTGAGCCCAGCTATGCATTTAAAAGCTAGCATTTATCACCATGAGTCATCTCTCCCCTTCTCCCCCCACCAAAAAAAAAAAAAAAAAAAAAAAAATCCCTCCTTTTATATTTGTTACTATTGTTGTCCCAGAATATATCATCACCAGCTGGGTCATTTAGTAGGGGAGGTGTTTTTTCGGACTGTGGAAAATTGGTAATTTAATATAATAGAGAACACATTTTATTTTAGTTGTCAAAAACAAGGCCATGCATTTAAAAATATATTTGTTATATTTTATCTTTAGGTAGCATCTTTAGGTGTTGTGGCAGGAGGACTTTCAGAATATTTAATTTAGCCATATTGCCAGAAATGGAAGTCAACAGTCACATTTGTGCTGTGTCCTGGCCATGGCTGACTGGTCTAAGATTGGATATACCACCTCTCCTGTGTTTTTATACATGTTGTTCACTCCGCCTGGAATAGCCTCATCCATTCTCACCCTCTCCCCTGACATATCTAGCTAACTTATATATATCCTCAAAACTCAGCCCAGAATTTTTTTTTTTCAAAAAGAACTTCCTTGGTTCTCTCCAAATGAAGTTAGTCTCTCCCTTCTTTGTATTTTGTAGGCAGTTTTCTTGTGGTGCCCATTAAGATTAGTTTTAATGGTTTGTTTGCATAATTATTTTCCTGCCAGTTTTGAGTTTGTCTGGGGTGGAAACTGGTATTATTCATCTATGCTCAAAAATATTTGTTGAATTGAATTTCTAGTGAGGAGCTGGGCTTAAAGGAAGAAAGAGAAGATCTTGCGATAAGACTCTAGATGGGAAAGGAGGATTTTGAAGATTCAGAAGAAATGCCTTTGGAAAGAGGGCCCTCCTGGCTTATTATCCACAAGTTTCCTCTTTGCCACCTTCGTCAATAGCATTTCTGCCTACACAGCAATTATCTGAGTTCCCACAGTTTTTTGGCCTCCTCCAAGATAGTTTAGTCTAACCCAAGATGCCAGGTCCAGATTTGAGGTTTCCCAACTACCTTTGACTTCACACCCACTCCTGATTTACTAGTACTTTTTATTCCAATAATTAAAGACCACCTCCACATATACTATCTCATTTATTCCTTATAACAATCCTGTTGTAAAAGGAATATCTCCCTTTTATAGATGAAGACTGAGTCTTGAAGAGATTAAGAACCTTGCCCAAATCACATACTAGTAAGTGGCAGTGCCATTTCAAACCTGCTAGTTTGACTCCAAAATTCACATTGAACAGCCTGAATTCCAGTAGGTCACAGGATAAACTTGACAACTTCAAGTGTATGCTAGGAGGAGAGTCATATGGCTCTCCATATGACAAATCTGTATGTGAAAAAAAATTAATACATGTAGACAAAGAGATAATCCACATGAAAATAACTTTTTTTAAAGATTTTATTTATTTATTTGACAGAGAGAGAGACAGAGAGAGCACAAGCAGGGGCAGCAGCAGGCAAACGAAGAAGCAGACTTCCCGCTAAGCTGGGAGCCGGATGTGGGGCTCGATCCCAGGACCCTGGGATCATAACCTGAGCCCAGGGCAGACACTTAACCAACTGAGCCACCCAGGCATCCCGAAAATATAACTTTTCTTAGAGTAGGAACAGAAAAAGAACATTCACCAACCACCGACCTCTGCCTCACATTTATTTTATTTCATATTTTTATAAAGCAAGTAGTATTAACCCTGTTTTACATGTTCCTCAGTTTTAGGAGGCCCAAGAACCTCCATAGCCATTAGGTTAAGAGCTTCTGCTTTGGACCCACACACACTTGGGTTCAAATACTGACTTTACCTCTTAACCAAATATGTCAAACTGGAGAAAGATGTTCTGTGAAATGAGGTAATCTGTAAAATGGGGATAATAATCCTACTTAAAGGGTTGTTCTAAGATTAAATCATATAAGAGTTGAAGGAACTTATTTTTTTTTAATTTTTTTTTAAAGATTTTATTTATTTATGAGAGAGAGAGAATGAGAAAGAGAGAGCACATGAGGGGGGGGAAAGGGTCAGAGGGAGAAGCAGACTCCCTGCCAAGCAGGGAGCCTGATGTGGGACTCGATTCAGGGACTCCAGGATCATGACCTGAGCCGAAGGCAGTCGCTTAACCAACTGAGCCACCCAGGCGCCCAAGTTGAAGGAACTTAATACAATGCTTGCCATATGATGAGGCCTCAACCAATGGTAGCTTATAACACTAAATCCAAGAGAGATTTGGTAATCTCAGAGATATGCATATCCAGTTACATGGCAGAGCCAAGATAGGAACTCAAGTCTGTGTTATCTCAAAACTCCACACTCCTTCCATTATACCAGGCTGGCAAGCTATCTTACATCTCCATCTTAAAATATTTTTTCTAAGAGTCCAGAGGTCTAACCTTCCAGGGTAGTATAATTTTTAATCTTTTCTACTATTATAGACTCATAAAAATATAAATCAACCTTATTACACTACCCAGAATTAACTATTAATATTCTATTTTCTTCCAATCCACATTGCTTTCTGGAAAGGTTTCCTAACGCATACTTTCACCAGCAATAGTATAGGATAGTGCCTGGCTAATACTAATAAAAAATATTCTGATCACTTTTAGGCCTTTTAGCTAAGATCAAGTGTAGTATCTGTTCTTATTAGTTTAATATCTGATATGTCCTCTATCCGAGGACAATATATTAAATGGATTTTTGGAACTAGGAGATAGAATAGGACCTTGCTCCATCCACTTCACGCATAGACCTGGTATTGCAATACTTCCAGGAACAGTTCACCCCCTCAGGGGAATAGAGGTTTCCCAAAAGGGGGGGAAATGGAAAGGAAAAAAAAAAAAAAGAACTCTGCTCTTTTGATAAATGCCAAATGATACAATTAACTTTCTATTCTTTGATCAGCGAAGTTAAATTTTATTTCCTTTAATTTCTATTTCTTCTTTAGCGGACTGCCTGTTCCTATCCTTTGCTCGTTATTCTACAGGAGTATTAAGTGTTTTATCCTTAGAATGTTTTTTACAATACAAAAAAACAAAAATCTGGCTGGTAGTCCAGGGCTGCTGAACTCCGGTTAAGGCCCACAAAGCCGCGCTCGCCCACTAGTTAACTTTTAAAGCTAGCGAGCTGCCTTTATTCGCCAAGGCGGAAGGAAGGCTTTCACGAATCACGAGGGCGCGAATTGCTGCAAAGGCGTTGGCTCTCCCGGCCTCGGGTGGAACGTCTCGCGGGATCTCAGCCGTCCTTGGGGCCTTCGACCCGACTACAAATCCCGACATACAACGTGCCTGAGGGCCCAAGCGCCCGAATGAAGGCGCAGGTCCAGGGTCATGTGTCTGTCTGCGTAAGGCGGACGGTCATCCCTCCTACGCCTTTTTCTGCAGCTTCCACCTTGGCCGCCATTTTGTGCGGGAGGTTCTGGAACCTCTGAGCCCCGCCGACTCTATGGTTGAGCATTTCAGGGGTCGGCCAATCGGAAGCCAGATCTCGGAGGAAAACCCCGCCTTCACCCGCATGGAGGCGGGAACTGCCACGAAGCTCCTGTGGAGAGAGAGGAAGAAGCTGCGGAAAGCCAATAAGAAAGGAGGACTTGAGGACGTTAGCCAATGAGGATGCGAGGGGATTGCGGCCAATGAGAGTGGGGTGATCCCGGGACACGTGGGTGGGGTAGCTGAGCGCTGAGACCTAGAGCTAAAGCCCGGAGGTGAGTCAGTCACCTTGAGCGGGGCAATCGTTGTGGTCCGAGGCGGGGCAGCGGGGCAGTGGGAGTGCAGGTGACTCGGGGCCGGAAGCCAGCGATGGGCAGGGGTGTAGGCTGGGCTGTGTGGAGGGGCATTTGTCCTCCGGGCCGGGAGAAGCGATGGGTGCCTATATCCTTAACAATTAATGTTAATTACCAACGGTAATGAGCGATTAACTGTCCCCACGGAGGCGGGCCGGGGACAGCTGTGTAAAATGTTTAGGACTCTGGCCGGCACCGACCCAGTATCTACCTCCAAAAGTCTTCCCTGGAGACCATACTCTTCAGCAACATTTCCTTCCTGGGGTTTTGGCCTCCTTCCTCTACTGAAGATCTCCGTGACCTTCCTTTGCAGACCCTTTCGCGCTGTCCCTCTGACCTCTAATGCCCTCCTCAGGTGGGGCACGGTGCAAGGAAGAACGTGGTCCAGGGAGGGCGGGCGGGGTGAAGGGGACGACCGAAGGTCGCCACTATAAGCAAACGACTAGGCTGTGAGTGAATCTTTTTTTTTCCTCTGCAGACTGAGAAAATGCAGACCACCGGGGCACTACTCATTTCTCCGGCTCTGGTAAGCTGCGGCTCCGGGGTGATCCGTAGTGCCAGATATGGGAGCTGTCGATGTTTAATGAATGAACTCGGAGGAGCTTGGCATCCAGATGCTGTTGGCTCTTTGAGAAGGCTGTAGTGATGCAGTTACCCCCTGTTTATTTAGACCTGTAAACCAAGCTTTCTTGGCTTTGGAATGTGGTCAGAGTCGGAATAGGATCTTGTTACACGAGTCTGGCTTGGCCGTAGCCAGACAGCCCGCTGAAGTAGTCATTCTCAAGCTTGGCTGGAACTCTCCAGGTGATTCCAATGTTCAGCCATGTTTGAGAATCACTGCATTATGTTGACATGTTTCAAGAAAGCCAGGTTACAGGGGGCTCTGCTTAGATGGTTGTTCGAGGAGCCTCACCAGGCTTACTGGCCCAGTCCATTCAGGGTGTGTACCAGTGAGTACATGCTAACAAAATAAGATTTACCTCTTCTGATTCTTTGGGTGGTCTGGGTACAAACCCCTCCTGTACCCGGTTTGATGTTAGTGTGGGTTCTTCCATTCTGGGAAACTGATAAGGGCTGTGCCCGTAGAAATGAACTTTGGTACGTGGGTTTAAATGGGAAAGTTGCCACTGCTAACTACGCCTGGGTCTTGGACGGCTGTCTCTTGTGCAGGCCTATCTGGTAGAAACAGGAATGCGTTAATTGACCTTGAAACACATGGGCTTTTTTTCTGTTTATAATCTTGTCATTTTTGACAGAAGTTCAGCATCTAGGTTTTCTTGTCCCTTGCTTGATTTGGAGGAATGTATCTTTCTGATTTGACAGATCCGCTGTTGTACCAGGGATCTGATCAGGCCTGTGTCTGCCTCCCTCTTGAGTAAGCCAGAGATCCCAGCTAAACAGGTAAAGGAATGTGGGCCCTCCTATAAATTTCCCCAGGGGCACCTGGCTGGCTCAGTCCGTAGAGCAGGCAACTCTTGATCACGGAGTTGTAAGCTTGAGCCGCACATCAGGTGTAGATTTATTACTTAAAAGTAAAAATCTTAAAAATTAATTAATTCATTTCCCCAGGGAGGGGTTCTTCAAGATAGTGACCTGTAGGCCAGAGTGGGAGGACAGTTAGAGAATCTATTATGCTTTAATAGCTCTAAGTACCCCAAGGTGAACATTGTAGGTGAGAAGTTTGCAAAAGTGAGGTTTCCCTAACCCACAAAATTTCCCTGGCCCTGTCAGAAAATGGGCCTGAAGACTAATTCCCAGCCTTCTCTGCAATCTGAGCATTCTCTACCTGCCAGGCAATTTGCCAGTGGCTTCGGAGCCCAGGTGGGTTGGGTGAGGGGATGGGATTCAGCCACCTGTCCTTATGCCTCACTACCTCTCCTTCCCTACTTGCCTTTCCAGCCATCCTACAGCAGCTCCCCGCTCCAGGTGGCCCGGCGGGAGTTCCAGACCAGTGTTGTCTCCCGGGACATTGACACAGCAGCCAAGTTTATTGGCGCTGGGGCTGCCACGGTTGGTGTGGCTGGTTCAGGGGCTGGCATTGGAACAGTGTTTGGCAGCTTGATCATTGGCTATGCCAGGTAAGTTTGGGGGTGGCCTAGAGTATCTCCTACCATAAATTCCACCCCATTTGGGAGAAGCCTCAGCAGGAGGTCCCACTAGCTTGGGGTTGATTTCATCGACCTCTTGATTTCTCCCGTGATCCCTGAATCATTATTTAAATGTGTTTTTAACCTGGCTCACTTAAACTTAACCATGTTGGTACTCTGCTTACCTGTCTAAATGCCCAGGATATATGTAGGTTAGGCCCTCTCCCAGTTTCAGCACCCCCTCATACCCCCCACTGACAACCTACCTGCGTCCTCCACCACCCATTTCCTCACCCCTTCCTTTCCCCCGGCTGGCATCGATCTCTGTCCCTGGCAGGAACCCGTCTCTCAAGCAGCAGCTCTTCTCCTATGCTATTCTGGGCTTTGCCCTGTCTGAGGCCATGGGGCTCTTCTGTTTGATGGTCGCCTTCCTCATCCTCTTCGCCATGTGAGGTTCCATGAGGGTCACCTACCCGTCCCTGCTGCTTCGACTTCAGGCCATGCCTGGTGCTGGAGTGTGCTAAGCTTTACCATTAAACACAACGTTTCTCTAAACCCATATGCCTGCGCCTCTGTCCTTTGCCCCTGCGGAGGCCTTGATGGAAAGGTGGGACAAGGGAAGTGAGAATGGGGCAGCCATGGTTTGGAACTCCTCGGGGCTGGGGAGTAGCACTGAGAACATGGAGGGCTCCCTTTATTTCCCAGAGGGAGCATGGATTTGTCTAAGTCATGCTTAATTGGTGCTTTTTTCCCCTTTGAATTTAATATAATAATAATGTGCCATTCTTAAGGGGCTTAATTTGCACCAGGCTCTGTTTTACGTTTGTTATTTCAACAACCTTATGAACTAGGAATACAATGGTTTATACCCATTTTGCAAATGAGGAGACCAAGGCTTAGGGCAGCAAAATAACGTGCCCACCATCACAGAGCTGGGAAGTGGAAGAATTGGGGATTCCACCTCAGGCCAGCCTAACCCGTTAACTGCTGTGATGGCCCCACAAATAGGGTGGCACAGATAGGGAAACAGTCTCAAAGAAGTGATGTAGCCGGTTGGAATTGGAGGCGGGCTTACCATCTGCCTGCATTTAGACCCACTGGGAAGTTTCATTTTCATTCTCAGATGAAGGAATGAAGGACACTTTTTTAGAGTGTCTAAATGTTCTTGAATAAAGCAGGTGAGGTACAGTTCCTGCTCTTGGAGAATTTACAATCTTAGCCTTGCTAGGGATAAAAAGGGTGAGTTTTTTTTGGTTGAACCAACTAGTGAGCTGCGTAGAGAGCCTTGCACAGCATCTTCCTTGTGGTCTCGGTCTGTGCCCAGCAGGCTTCCCCAACTTGGCTATCGTGCGACCGGTAACCCAGGGAAGAGAGCGCTAGGCTGAAACATCCACAGCTGCTGCTTCTCTAAGCCCTAGCACCAGCAAACCATGACAGAATGAACACAGAGGTGCTGGTTAACATGATCTGTCTCAAATTGGATGGTTTCAAAAGGAGTAAAAGTGGGACCCATTTTGTGAAATCCTTATACCTTGTGAAACTAAGAATATTCCTATCCAGCTGAAGGGCAGCTAGCAAAGAGGGTTAAAACACCAAAAACTGTGAGTTAATAAGAATGGATTGAATTTACATGCAACGTAAGGGCAGTCTGCAAGTATTTAGGTGCTAAGAATCCTCCTGGTAGTCTTGGGGAAGTCAAAGAAATCTAAGATCCTGCCCTTAAGGAGTTTGGGGCATTAAGGGAGCGGAAACCCTGAACAGAGTCACAAATTGAATATGTGGGTACAAAAACTATGTGCTGTAGGTGAGGAAAAGCAAGTCAGTGTGGTAAAAACCTCAGCTAACACTTGAGCACTTGTGGGTCAGACACAGTGCTAAGCATTTTCTGTGAATAGCTTCCAACATCCCTATGAAATAAGTCATTTTATAGTCAAGGAAGAAGGCTCAGAGAGGTGAGGCAACCTATGAAGGTCACACAGCTGATGAGTAAAGCTGGAATTCAAACTCCGGAACCTGTGTTCTTATCACTGCTGACTCACGTAAGCTTCACACAAGTTCACTGACATGCCCGATAGCACACAGCAGGCCAACAATTCCAGTCCCAAGTCCATCTAAGATTCATTCAACAATCATGGTCTTGTACCACAGGATTTTTCAACCTTGGCACATCTGGAGCTAGTTAATCCATTGTTGTGGTGGGTTGTCCTGTGCATTGTATGGTGTTAGGCAGCATCCCTGGTCTCTACACTAGATGCTGGTAGCCACCTCCCCACTCCCAAGTTGTGACAACCAATTGCCAAACACCAGATTTCTCCTGGCTGGGGGGGGAAAAAAAAAATCACTTCCAGTTTAGAACTACTGGTCTACCATAATCTGCTGCTTGTCCTCTTTACCCTAAGTAATTCTCAAAGTTGTCCACAGTAAGGCAGTGGTAGAACCTGAAGCAGAGCCCAGGAATCTTAGGGCCAAAGAGAAAGAATGGAACTTGCAGCTGAGGTATCTCCAAGGGAGCAATGGATTAACAGTAAAGTTATGAAAACGGAATGTGGTACCCTTTGGGATGTCAGGCTGGCATCCTTGCTGGGTCACTCCCCTCTAATGGTAAATCAAGGAGCAGCCTCCAGGGAAGGTGATTCCCTTTACTTCCTGTGAAGCTCCAGGAACCTAGTTTTTGCCAAGGGGCTGGCAAGAATTTCCCTTGATCATGAGCGCCAAACAGGCTTGGAATTGCTGGACTTAAAATCCAAATCAGCAAGGTTGGGAATGTAGTTGGGCCTAGGGAACCCTAGAGAGTCAGGGGAGAATGCTGCCCGACCCCCAACAAGGCTAGTTAGTCCATTACCATTGAGATTCTTTAGGGTCTGCAGTAGAGGGTAGAACTATCTTGCTAGTGCAAAATACTTATGACTGGATACAGAGTGTATTATTCTTGGGCGAGGATCCATTGTTTTCATTATATTCTCAGAGGTAGTGACCAAAAAGAATTTAGTAACCACTCCTTAGGAGTTCAGCATGGTAGCAAGGAGCACAGAGGGGAATGTAAACGCCATCCCTGCCACTTACTAACTGGGTAATTCTCTCCCCTGAGACTCGAGTTTCTCATCTCTAAAATGGGGATAAAAACAACTCACAGTGGTTGGGACAACAAAATGACGGAAGATAGGTAAATATATGCAAATAATGATAATACATGTAGTATATGCATTGTGGTATTAATGAGATACATGCAACGTTAGAATGTACTCAGATGTAATAACACGTGTAGTACTAAAATTTTTTTTTTTTAATTTTATTTATTTATTTGACAGACACAGCGAGAGAGGGAACACAAGCAGGGAGAGTGGGAGAGGGAGAAGCAGGCTTCCCATGGAGCAGAAAGCCCGATGCGGGGCTCGATCCCCGGACCCTGGGATCATGACCCGAGCCAAAGGCAGACGCCCAACGACTGAGCCACCCAGGCGCCCCAGTACTAAAATTTTTAAGGGAGTACCTGGCTGGCTCAGTTGGAAGAGCATGCAACCTGAATCTCGGGGTTGTGAGTTTGAGCCCCACGCTGGGTGTGGAGATTAAAGAAATTCAATCTTTTTAAAAATTTTCTTTAATATAGCTATGATTACTTGCAATCAGAAGCTGCAAAACCCCAGTCCAAGTTCTGATTTTTCCTTTCAGTCCAGGAGTTATGACCTGGATGGGAACTCTTCATCTATCCCTGGCATTGAGCCCAGGACAAAAGGCTGGGCCTTGTAGGGGAAGGACTGCTCCTGAGGGACACAGAACTTTGGGGAAGGGGGGAAAAAGAGCTTCGTGATTTCTCTTTTTAGAGAGAGTTGAGGCACAGCAGTGACCTGAACTCTAGGACACTTGCTGGCCTCTGTCCTTGGGGGAGGACACTTGCCTAGTTGCCATGAGCAAGGGACTACCAAACTTGGTTGCACTAAGAGGTGGCTCAATGCAGGGCAGTCCAGTGCTGTGGAGGAGAGAGAGGCTTGGATCCAAATGCCTGTAGGAAGACTGCTTAGTTGTGTCATCCATCCCCAGAGGACATGGGAGAGGCTCCAGAAGGCACACTCTTGCCCTCTAGCCAAGCGGCCAGAAAAGCAGCCAGGTGTTGCCTTGAAAAAGTCAGTGAACACTGGACTAAGTAATGCCAGCTTCTAACACTCCGCTGCTAGCCTCTCCTTGGCCCTTCCTCTTCCTGGCTTAGAGGCTTCCTGGAGCTCCCTTGGAAGGTGGTGAGCTGGTCCTTTCAGCAGCTGCCGTGCTCTACGGCCCTTCGGGCCTTGACTTGCAGATTCCTTGTGCAAGCCTGGCTCAGCCCTTTGGAAAGAAAAACAGGCATATCTGAGGAGGAGGAGGAGCTGAAATTCTAGAGATCCATGGCCCGGGAAGGACGACTGGCTACTACGTCCTCATTTCCGCTCTGTTCACCATGTCTGCAGCACTCACTGAATGTGAGTTCCTAGAGATACAAGATTGGTGCTCCAGGTTTTCTGCCCTAGCGTATATCGCACGTAGTAGCTAGACAGATGAGTAACCAAACCAGTAAAATAAAAAGCAGTAAGTGCTACAATAAAGGTATGAATTATTTGAGGATGGAGTAAATTAAATGACTAATTAATAGTAATAATAAGAATACACCTGGAGGTGCTACGACTTGGCAGAGAAGGTAGTATTTCAGCCTGCCTTGAAGATGAATAGGAATAATAAGAGTTAATAATTATTGAACATTTACTCTGACCGGGTATTGTACACATTCATTATCACATTATCTCTCTTTTTTAAAAAGATTCATTTATTTAGATCTCTCTTTAGAGAGAGCATGTGAGTTGGGGGGAGGGGCAGAGGGAAAGGGAGGAAGAATGCTGAAGACTTCCTGCTGAGTGTGGAGCCCAACGTGGGGCTCGATCCAGGACCCCAAGATCATGACCTGAGCCGAAATCAAGAGCTGGCCGCTTAACCAACAGCCACCCAGGCGCCCCACATTACCTCTTCTTTATAGCTACTTTTGTTTTACCAATATTACTGATGAGGAATAGAGGCTCAGAGTTTCAATAACTAGGATTTCCCCTGGTAGAGTAGAGGGAAAGAGTATTCCAGGTAGAGAAAGTAAGAGCAAAGTCCTGGAGGAGAGACAGTACATGGGCAAGTGGGATGCCAATTATTTGGACAGTGCTTGCCACTCTACAAAGCACTTGTGGAATTGCCACACTTAATCCTCAGAAAAACCCTAAGAGGTAAGAATTAGCACCATTCTATGGATGCAGAAATAGGCTCAAAGAGGCTATTTGTAGAGTGGTACAGATCAAAAGCTGGAAACTCTTCTGGATCCAAGGTAAGTGTTTTATGTCCACTGAAAACAATAGTAGTAAGGGGAGGACCACACGGAGAATTCCTGTCCCCCATGGGCCATCTTTGGGCCTCTGCAGACTAGAGCCATGGAGGAGCAATGGAACAGTGTTCTTTGTGTGAGGTTATCAGTGAATTGACTTTTGACCACCTTACTAAATAAATAATACCCAAACAAAATTCCAGAATCCTTTAAAAATGAATAAAAC